AATATATATATATATATATATTTAATTTAAGAGAGAACTATTAACAAATCTTGCAAGAGAGGATGTGTCAGGTAGGTGTGGCAGGAATAGTCTGATCTTCTATTTATAGCTCTGTAACCAAACAAAATTGAAGGCTATAAAATTATGGTCTGTCTGAGCAATGATAATTTTATAATGAGTAATTTATGTTTAATTTCATAGTTACTGGAGGGGAGGTAAATAAAATAGAGAAAATACCTAGAAAAAATGTATCACGGTAGGGGAAATTTAGGATTTTTTAAAATATTGTCTTATAGAATTAAGAACTTAAAACTTATATACTATTAAAATATAGATTATTAGCTAAGATTTAATGTATACTATTTAGTATAACATAAACAAGAAGTAGTTTAATAAAATTTTGAATGTAAGACACTAAAACATTGTGTCATGCACAGCAGAGGATATCTGTGGTGATAGGGTAAAATAAAAAGAAAATAAAGCTGTTTTCTTAGTAGGATATTTATTTTAAACTATTTTCATGTAAAAAAACAAAGAGGTAATTTTTGTACTATAGTGTTTATATGCTTTTAAACTAAAAGGTAATGAGATCATTTTCATACTGTGATGTTTATATATTCATAATTTTTTAACTAAAAGACATTCGTAAAGATGTCCTGAGTTGTTTTATTTGCTTGTTTACCTTAGATCATCCTTAGGTTCTTGTAGAAAGTTGCTTCTATTATTTATTAAGTTTTATGATATTTGGACTGCAACAACTTATATATATTTTTGTATGGTTGTGTATTATTTTTAGAAAATTATATTTTAACTGTGCACATCTGACATATAGTGCTTTTCTGAGGGTATTTAAAACCATTTTTGGTCATAGTCCTACATCAGGCTGATAGTAGTTGTAATTAGAAATAAATATTACTAACTTCAAAAAAGTAGTTTGATAAAATACATAGATATTCCAAATTATTTTACCCTTCTTTGTCTACATTCCTTGCAAGCATTTTTAAATTATGTGCCATCGTATCCTGTAGATTTAATGTTATCCCTTGACAAAAGCAGAAACTAATTGTTGGATAAAAATAATTTTTCTTCCGGAGTTTGTAGTTGTAATTATATAATGCTTCCTTGCCTGTAATCTGCATTCAAATATCTTAATTGAGATCCATGTTTTTTATAAGCTGTGACCATTGTAACCAAATAACTTCATGTTATCCTTAATAACTTTATAACTTGTGATCAGATTAATGAAGATTGTGTTGAATCACATTATATTACTACAGCTAATCTGTTCTTGAAGTATCATGAAAATCATTGGTTTTAAAAATGCCCCTTGTCATTTATAACTCTTCATTTCAGGTGGTATGTTGACAATACATTCACCATTCTTCACTCACAAAGAAATGTTAATGAATATCAGCATTAATTAACCCATTTGCTACGGTCTTGATGGATTATGCCAACCACATGACCCCCCTCTCTCTTCTCACAAGATTAGCTGTTCTCATTTATTGCTGCCCTCTATATGCAAACATTTTTATTACTCATGCCACAAGCCTTCCACATACCCCTATTGGAATCAAATGATTCCAACGTGTGTCACATGCAAATCATTATGTGTCACCTATTCACCAATAGGATCATGATACACTCACATGACGCATGTGACTCCTTCTATGTGCCTGTAAGGAACTACCACTTCTTGTTTGGCAGTGCTTGCACTCGAACTTTTTTCTTTCCTCTTGTTTCGTATTTGAGATCGTATTTTCTTGAAGTGTTTTTTTTTACTTTATTTCAGTTCACTTACCCTTATTCCAGTCACATTTCTTATTTACTTAAAGCGATTTTGTCGCTTACATCACCATAAATTTCGAAGTTAATGTCACCACTTTGGGTGTTACACAATCAACAAGCTCTATACCACAGGCTGCAAGTGCTGCCAACCCATTAGGAGGTTTGTCTATGTTTATTCCCAGGGAGATTGAACATTGTATGGGTCAACCTTTATCTCCAGACATTGCCCCTTTTCCTCCTGAACCTATGGAACCTGGTCAGGTTGATGAGGTCTTTGATCGCCTGTTTCCACCTACTGATTTTGCCATGCCTTCCCATACCCTCCCTGAGGATTCTATTTGGCCATCCACGGTTTTTTGGAATTGACTATCTGCGTATTCCCATCTTGAAATGGTCTCGTCCTTATCTTAGGTTCATCCATCGAGGGGTGGTATACCAATTTTGTGCCCTACCCTTCAGTCTGGCTTCGGCTCCATACATTTTCTGTCTGTGGTACGAGCTTTTACTCTTGATCTTCAAGCCTTGCGGCTGCATTTCCATTTTTACATAGAAGAATGCTTACTTCTGATTCATTCCAAACAGGAGTCAACCTGTCGTACTTGTCAGCTACATATTGAAGCTGCTCGGGTAGGTTGGTTGATCAAATTGGAAAAGTCCTTCTTACTTCCTACCTAATATTCTCCATTTGGGTGTCTTTTTCAAACCCACATCAATTGGGCCCAACCTTCTCCTCTCCAACTCCATTCTATGGAATTGTCAGTTTGCCAGGCCCTGTCTACTCCCTCAATTTCTGCATGCAAGGTTTTGTTAGTTTTGGGGATGTGGTCTTCTAT